CACCAAGCTGGGAGACGAGGAATCTGCTCCAGATGTTACGACAAAATTGTGTAGTCTTACTCTCTTCTGCACTCCGGGGAGTCTCTCCTGCAAGGTTTCTGCAGCCATCTGTTCCCTAGGCGGAAAACCCAATGCACAGGCACAGACACCCACACAGAGGGCTAATCCCAGGATGCACCCAGTCTACAAGAAGCAGCAGATCCTCCCTCCAACAGCTCCCCCCTCTGCCTTTGGGAGTGATAACAGATTACTCGTGGGTGGTGGGTGGCTTGAGAGAGAGAGAAAAAGTCACCAGGGATGTCTATCACCTAAACTCCAGTGTTTCTCAACCTTGAGAATTTTAAGGCATGTGGACTTCAACTCCCAGAATTCCACAGCCAGCATTGCTGGCTGTGGAATTCTGGGAGTCAAAGTCCACATGCCTTAAAATTCTCAAGGTTGAGAAACACTGACCTAAACTCCAGTGAGAGTTCTTCAACAGACTTTGACTTGGGGGGGGGGGCTTTGCTTTCACAGCTCCGGGTCAGCAAGGGGGCAGGCAACAAAAAGAGGGGTGGGTGGGAGCTAAGCTACAAGGACTGTTTTTCTGTCCAGATGGCAGAAAACTACTGAGTTCCAAGCAGCTACTAGTACCGCTTTACAAAGCCCTAGTGAGGCCACACCTGGAATACTGCAGCCAATTTTGGTCATCACATCATAAAAAGAGATGTTGAGACTTTGGAAAAAGTGCAGAGAAGAGCAACTAAGAGGATCCGAGGCCTGGAGACTAAAACATGTGAAGAACGGCGGCGGGACTTGGGTTTGGCTAGTCTAAAGAAAAGAAATAGGAGAGACATGATAGCAGTGATCCAGTATTTGAGGGGCTGCCACAAAGAAGAGGAGGGGGTCAGGTTATTCTCCAAAGCACCAGAGGGAAGGACGAGAAACAACTGTTGGAAACTGACCAAAGAGAGAAGCAACCTGGAATTAAGGAGAAAGTTCCTGACAGTGAGGACATTTAGCCAGTGGAACAGAAGTTGCCACCAGAAATCGTGGGTGCTCCATCGCTGGAAGTTTTTAAGAAGAGACAATCACCTGTCTGAGATGGTATAGGTTCTCCTGCTTGAGCAAGGGGCTGGACTAGAAGACCTCCAAGGTTCCTTCCAGCTTCTATTCTATTCTATTCTATTCTATTCTATTCTATTCTATTCTATTCTATTCTATTCTATTCTATATTCCATTCCATATTTTCTTTATTCTATTCTATTCTATTCTATTCTATTCTATTCTATTCTATTCTATATTCCATTCCATATTTTCTTTATTCTATTCCATAATTTGTTATTCCATTCCATTCCATTCTATTCTATTCCATACTTCTCTATCTCTATATTCTATTCTATTCTATTCTATTCTATTCTATTCTATTCTATATTCCATTCCATATTTTCTTTATTCTATTCTATTCTATTCTATTCTATTCTATTCTATTCTATTCTATTCTATTCTATATTCCATTCCATATTTTCTTTATTCTATTCTATTCTATTCTATTCTATTCTATTCTATTCTATTCTATTCTATTCTATTCTATTCTATTCTATTCCTACGTGACTGGGTAGCAGGTGCCGGGGAAAATTAATCCAACTCTCAACAGACCACAGAATAATCTGGGGTTTTCTAAGCATCTTTTGCCCAGATGGGTAACTATGGCCTCTTTACGACCTCTGGACTTCAACTCCCAGAATTCCTCAGCTGGCTCAGGAATTCTGGGAGTTGAGGTCCACAGGTCATAAAGGGGCCATAGTGGCTCACTCCTGACCTTTTGGCTTCTCCAGCTCCAGCTGCAAATCATTTATTGGTGTTTGCTCTCTGCTACATCCACGAAAGCCATCCCAGCTCCGAACAAAATAACAGAGTTGGAAGGGATCCTGAAGGTCATCTAGTCCAACCCCCTGCTCAGGCAGGAAACCCTATACCATTTCAGACAAATGGCTGTCCAGTCTCTTCTTAAAAACTTCCAGTGTTGGAGCATTCACAACTTCTGGAGGCAGGTTGTTCCACCGGTTAATTGTTCCAACTGTCAGGAAGTTTCTCCTTAGTTCCAGGTTGCTTCTCTCCTTGATGAGTTTCCATCCATTGCTTCTTGTCCTGCCTTCAAGGGCTTTGGAGTGTAGCTTGACTCCCTCTTCTTTGGGGCAGCCCCTGAGATACTGGAAGGCTTGTTATCCTGTCCCCCCTCGTCCTTCTCTTCATTAAACCAGACATTCCCAATTCCAGCAACCGTTCCTTGTATGTTTTAGCCTCCAGTCCTCTGATCCTCTTTGTTGCTCTTCTCTGACCTCTTTCTCCTGGTCTCCTAATCCTTTAAGAGAGGGAAGGTAGCCAGGGGTCTCTCCAAACATCTTTTTCAGCCTCGGGGGGGGGGGGGAATTTCATACTGATACGGGCCCTGTGTAAAAGATTTGCCTCTTCTCCCCTTTTCGTAGCTGTACAGTACAAGGAATTCCAGCGGCAAAGGAAAAAAACAGCAAAGGGAGAGTAGAAGAAAAAGAAGAGCTGGAAGGGAAGGGGGAATCTGGTGCTATGTAGCCAACACCCTGCAGTCACATCAGGCTGACTTGCACCAGGTAGCTGAATCAAACAGGCTTTTTAAAAAGGGCATCCCTATTTCTAGTTAAGGATCGGAGACCGGCCAGGTTCCAGACTTTGCTTTCGAAAGATCAGAATCGTGCAAACTCTGTTATTCCCTAATATCTACAGACACCCCCCCTACACACACATCCTGGACATAAACTGTTTGAACCCCTCCCCTCAGGACGCTGCTGCAGGTCACTGCAGGCCAAAATAACTAGACACAGAGACAAGTTTTGTTCCCCCTCCTGCCATCACTCTGATGAACAACAAATCCTCACAGTGTTGTCTTATATTTATCCAAGTTGTATCGCTATAGTATTGTTTTTACCCTTCTCATTTTCTCTATTACCCCCTTTTATTGGTATCATCATTACGATTATTATTACTCTGTTGCTTTGCATGTACGTTGAGAGCTTCTGCACCGGAGACAAATTCATTGTGTGTATCTAACAACACTTGGCCAAATAAAATATTGTATTCTGTATTGTATTGTATTGCATTGCACTGCACTGCATTCCATTCTAAATTCCAGTACATATTTTATTATTCTATTCTATTCTGTTATGTTCTATTATTTCTATTCTATTCTATCCTATCCTATCCCATTCTATTCCATTCCATATTTTCTATTCTGTTCTATTCCATTCTGCATTCTATTCTATTTCATTCCATTCCATTCTATATTTTCTATTCTATTCCATTCTACATTCTATTCCATTCTGCATTCTATTCTATTCCATTCCAATTCAATTATTTCTATTCTATTCTATTCTATCCTATCCTATCCTATTCCATTGCATATTTTCTATTCTATTCCATTCTGCAGTCTATTCTATTCTGTTCTATTCTATTCTATTTTGTTCTGTTCTGTTCTATTCTATTCTATTCTGTTCTGTATTCCATTCAATTCCATTCCATAATTCTATTCTATTCTATTCTATTCTATTCTATTCTATTCCAGCTCCATTCCATATTCCATTCCATTCCATATTCTATTCCATTCCATTCCATGTTCTGTTCTGTTCTGTTCTATTATTTCTATTCTATTCTATTCTACTCTACTCTATTCTATTATTTCTATTCTATTCTATCCTATCCCATTCTATTCCATTCCATATTTTCTATTCTGTTCTATTCCATTCTGCATTCTATTCTATTTCATTCCATTCCATTCTATATTTTCTATTCTCTTCCATTCTACATTCTATTCCATTCTGCATTCTATTCTATTCCATTCCAATTCAATTATTTCTATTCTATTCTATTCTATCCTATCCTATCCTATTCCATTGCATATTTTCTATTCTATTCCATTCTGCAGTCTATTCTATTCTGTTCTATTCTATTTTGTTCTGTTCTGTTCTGTTCTATTCTATTTTGTTCTGTTCTGTATTCCATTCAATTCCATTCCATATTTCTATTCTATTCTATTCTATTCTATTCTATTCTATTCTATCCTTTCTATTCTATTCCAGCTCCATTCCATATTCCATTCCATTCCATATTCTATTCCATTCCATTCCATGTTCTGTTCTGTTCTGTTCTGTTCTATTCTATTCTACTTCATTCTATTCCATTCCATTCCACCCACAGGTCTTAAAGTGGCCATGCTGGGACACCCTTGCTGCACACAATCCACTAAAAAGAGAGAGTGGGAGAGAAACTCCACTGGATCACACACCATTCACATAAAAGGGAAGACTCGTGGCCAAAAGCTAGCCGGTGATGTCAATAAATAAATCACAATCCATTCAGTTCTCCAGACTCTTCAACCTTCTTCCTTCCCACCACACCTCTTGCACCTCATCCTGTCCCTGGGCCCTGCTTGAGGTTTCTGCTTCCCCTGCTAACTCTTTCGCCTCCTGGTGCCTTGGGAATTCCTACCTATTTACTCAAACGCCATGAAAAAAGCCGTCTATAAAACCAGCTCCTTTGCTGACTCTTTCTGAGCTCCAGCCAATGTTCAAAGCAAAAAGCGGAAAGGAAAAAAAAAAAACACCCCAAAACTCCATCCCTCTGTAGATCAACAGAGGCAGCCTTTCAACCAGTTCCCCCCTCCCCAAAAAAGCAGTCCCCCCCTCCCCATTCGCAGAACAGAGCAGAATCGCACCTCGGGAAATTGAGTGTTTAAAAGAGAGTCGGGGAAGGACGGCGGTGCCTGTAAAAACTATAACGGTTCCCTGTAACCATGAAACACGTCCTGTCAACAAACAGAGGTGCCACACCGCCCCTTTCTGCCCGCTATTTTTATTTTTCTAAAATTAATTGGGTGCCAAATGGAACGCCGGCTTGCTTTTGAAGCAGGGCCAGCCGGCATGGAAACCTCAGCCCGCCAAGGGAAGGAACGCCCGACGGAGCAGAAGCAAATCATTTATCCTGGTTACCTGCAGCATGTTGAGCAGGAGACTCCGGAACTTGGTGCCGTCCACCATGAAGAGCGCCATCTTGTCGCACAGCTTGGCCGCTGTGCAGGCGAAGCTGCGGTCGCTCACGGCCTTCTGGTAGATGGTCCGGACGATCTCCCCCAGCATCTCCTCGGAGTTGGTGGCGTTCTGGGCTTCCTCCATGAAGCTGGTGAGCTTGGCGTCCACCCCGCTGCTCGGGTTGTTCCGCATGCTGTTGAGAATCTCAATTAATTTGTCCATTTTGTTCCTTTGTGGGTCCGTGGACTCCACCACCCCTTCGTCCTGGTCCGTGAAAAGGGAAAGACAAGGCATCTGTTACGCAAGGGAGACATGGAGGGAGAGAGAGAAGAGAAGAGGAGATCAGCACTCTGCGACAAGCCACGACGGTTAGGAGGCATCAAACAAAAGCTGGCAGAGAAGCCTACTTGCTCAACCTGACAAATAATAATAATAACAACAATAACAATAAAGTTGGAAGGGACTTGGAGGTCTTCTTGTCCAACCCCCTGCTCAGGCAGGAGACCCTACACCATTTCAGACAAATGGCTGTCAAGTCTCTTCTTAAAAACTTGGAGCATTCACAGCTTCTGGAGGCAGGTTGTTCCACTGGTTAATTGTTCTAACTGTCAGGAAGTTTCTCCTTAGTTCCAGGTTGCTTCTCTCCTTGATGAGTTTCCACCCGTTGCTTCTTGTCCTGCCTTCAGGCGCTTTGGAGAATAGCTTGACTCCTTCTTCTTTGGGGCAGCCCCTGAGATACTGGAAGACTGCTATCCTATCCCCCCACATCCTTCTCTTCATTAAACTAGACATTCCCAATTCCAGCAAACGTTCCTTATATGTTTTAGCCTCCAGTCCCCTGATCATCTTTGTTACTCTTCTCTGCACTCTTTCTAGAGTCTCAACACCTTTTTTACATCGTGGTGACCAAAACTGGTGCCGTATTCCAAGTGTGGCCTTACCAAGGCCTTGTAAAGCGGTATTAATACTTCACGTGATCTTGATTCTATCCCTCTGTTAATGCAGCCCAGCACTGTGTCGGCCTTTTTGGCAGCTGCAGCACACGGCTGGCTCCTATTTAGGTGATTGTCCACTAGGACTCCGAGGTCCCTCTCACAGTTACTACTATTGAGCAAGGTACCCCCTATACCAGCGGTTCTCAACCTATGGGTCGCGACCCCATTTGGGGTCGATCAACCATTTTACGGGGGTCGCCAAACAATGCGATCCGCCATTTTCCCCCCTCAGGGGGCGGCGCCCTATACTATACCCTGTGCATTTGGTTTTTCTTGCCTAAATGTAGAAATGTAGAACCTTTTAGGCAGAAACTCTACACTATAATGCCCGTATGGCAGACAGCAATTAAAGGGACGAATAATCCTAAAAAAATACTGGGAAGCTACGCCCATTGAATTTCCACTCATCATTTTCACGACGAAATACACGATGAAATTCATTTTCGTTGAATTACTCATTCCATGCTGGGACCAACGATTAAACATTTACCTCCAACATTAGAGGTAAAATTGCATTCTAACTTTAATTCACTGGCTGTCTTCAGGTAAGTTGGCACAAGAAAAGAAATTCAACAGTTGGTTTGTTAAGGTTCATGAACCAGTGCCCAGGACACTGTTTTAAGTGGGTACTTTCCCTGGATCTGGAAATGAAATTATTCCGGTCAAAACGACGGTTAGCTCTGATCGATAGAAAGCAAAAGCAACGAATAATATAGAGTGACACCTACAGGTAGAACGTGGTATTATAGGACATTGTGCTGGTTTTGCTGAAGCAGAAGAGAAATTTAAACGGGGACGCTAAATGACAACAGACTTTTTCAAGACAAAATAAAGCCAAAGAGCAATAGTTTCTGCAAAGTTGACAATATCAACAACAATATATATTAGTAATCCTTTCTATTCTGCTTTTCTTTCTGGTGTCTTACATGATTTCCCGACGACAAGGCCATGAAAAAGCTAACTCACTGCCCAGGGCCTTCTCTGCAGTGGCTCCATCCCTGTTGCTTTTTCTGCAAAATCTTGAAAGAAAAGGGACCCCACTTGTTGCTGCCATAGGGTGGGCAGTGGGTCATTTCAAATGGTGAATTTTAAACTCTTGGCTTTTAATGTTGTACACTACCTGGAGTTACTGTGTGTGCGTGTGTGTGTGTGTGTGAGAGAGAGAGTTGGGCAGTTATTTACGTTTGTTTAATGAATAAATTAGGAATGTACAACATAGCAGATGCATCTCAATTTTGCTGATGAGAATATGTCAAGGTAATGATTTAGAACAGGGGAGGCAACCTTGGCTCTTTTAGGACTCGTGGACTTCAACTACCAGAATTCCTCAGCTAGCCATGGGAGTTGAAATCCACGAGTCATAAAAGAGCCAAGGTTGCCTACCCCTGATTTAGAAGCTAACCAGCTTGTACAATGTGAGATGAATGATGCAATGTTAGGAATGACTCAGCAGGCGTCTGTATCCCTTTAACAGCTTGAGTATAAAAGGGATGGCCTTGCTAGATAGTCTTTCTCTCTCTTGCCGTTTCCTGCTCTGCTGTGTGTTAGAGTTTGCTGAATGACCACGTGTAGATCTCTTGTTTCTAGTGTATATTTGTAGATAGTGTAATATAAACCACCATTTAGTACAGACCGCTGTTTACTGTATTTACTCCTGGGTTACCTCAGCACAACAAGACTGTGCATGCTGTGACAGAATATCACCCATCTGGGTTTAAATACAGGTAACAGAGGTGGCTTTTGGTGGAAATAACAAGGTAGTCATAGGAGGGAATCATACACAGATGACTCCAGAGAACTGAACTTATTGCATAGGTTTAAAGCACCTATTTCTGCCAGTCCTCTGCCCCCCCCATTTTTTTTCCATTTAGGAGGATTTAAGGGCAAAATGGATGCCTCAAGCCCTCTCAAAACTCTTATTTTGGTTCCGCTTGTTCCAGTGACACATCACGGTCACCAATCCTCAGAAATGAGGTCAGTGCAACTCCCTGACACAAGAAACTTGTAAACGTCTGATACTTTGGTTGCTCAGGAAGTGAGTGAGGAAAAAAAAAAAGATGGATGTGAATTTTGAGACGGGGGTCTTTTTTCCTGTTAGGAGGGATCAACAGAATGGAGGAAATATGGGGTTTTTTTTCTTTCTCTTTTTAGGGCTGTATTAACGAGGAAATATAATACATAGAGATGAAATAAATGTAAAAATGAGTACTTAAAAAGTGGACTGGAAAAAAATGAATTAACAGAGATATGGAAATGGAACACTAGGCTTGTATTAAGATTTGGTTTAGGCTGTTGTTTAAACTAGAAGTTATTTTTGCAGTCTGGTAGATTAGTTTTTATTTACATCCTACCCTTTATTATATATATATTTTTATAAAGAATTCAAGGCAGTAAACCTATCTCTTCCTTCCGGTTTTCCCCAAAATGGTCAGTTGAACTGAGATAAAAGGGACTGGGTCAAAGTTACCCAGCTGGTTTTCAGGGTTCAGGCGGGACTAGGACTTAAAACTGTCCCTGTGATTGGCCCAGTTACCCATCCAGCTTTCATGGCTAAGCTGGGATAGAACTGAGAGTCTCCTGATGATTGATCCAAAGTCGCCCATCCAGCTTTCGTGCCTAAGGTGGGATTAGAACTTATCGTCTCCCGGTGACTGGCCCACAGTCACCTAGATCAGAGGTCCCTAACCTATGAGCCGTGGCCTACAGCCAGGCCGTGGCCTCTTGGCTGCGTGAGTAACTGGGCAGTGGACGCGCATGTGTGCATGCTCATCCCGCCTCGTGCCATTGTTGCGAGTGTTGTGTGGGCAGCTGCAGCACCTTGTATCCCGTGGGTGGCGGCGTTGCCACGAACATTGCGCAGGGCGCGGCAGCACTGCAAGTAAGCTGCGGCATGATCCTCGGGCGGGAGCAGTAGCACAAGCCTCGCATGGGGGCAGCATCACTGCGGGCTGCGGTGCAGTTCTCACAGGAAGGCACAATCCTCGCACGGGGCGGCAGCGCAATCCTCTTACGGGGATAGCATTGTTGCGGGCTGTGGCGCTATCCTCGCCGCAAGTCTGGCAACGGCACCACAACCTCACACAGGAACCGCCATCACTGAGTGCCTCCTGCGCATGCTCACAGCCCCGCTTGCGTGGTGCACATGCTTGCAGCTTGTTTGTACACACGCACATGCGGCCATATCCATGTTTGCGCATGTGCGCGTAAGGCGCCTGCCCCTCCCTCTCCCACCGGGCCGCCACCCCAAAAAGGTTGGAGACCGCTGACCTAGAGGGCTTTCATGCCTAAAGTAGGATTAGAACTCAGAGTCTGGTGCCTTAACCACCAGGCCAAACTGGCTTTGAGAATGACGGATAAGTATTTCTGAATTAATAACTGGATGGCCGGATTTGTTGAAGATTACAGAAATATTGTACAGGTTTCTAAATTTGAAGTTAGTGGTTGATTAGGTTAGGTTTAATTTAGATATTATCTATTTGCACTGAGAAAAGCTGAACACCTTCCCCTGCTTTTCTCCTTTTTCTACCACTCTTTAACTCTTTAATCTCCTTTCGAATTTTCTCCCTCCCCTGTTTGGGTAGCCAGCGTGCGTTTTAATTCTTTCTGAAATTTAATAAAGTGGTATTAAAAAAAAAACAAAAGTGACCTGAGGGGAAAAAAAGCAGCTACCTTCTCTTTTAGCCTCCGGCGTAGCCTGTCCTTGGAAGACTGCAGCAAGTTCACTTTGGGCCTCTCGTTCTTCCGCTCATGGACGCCGTCCTTCCGCTTGCTTTCGGGATCCTGGAGATACGGCGGCGAGGGCCTCTCGGTGACGTCGTGGTTGCGATGCACCTCCAGAGGGATGTGCACCGTGCAGACGGAGGTATCGTCTATTTTCAGATTCTCGGTCTCTTTGGCGTTCCGGTGCGTCTCTTTGTCATTGGGAGAGTGTTTCTGGTTGTGGTGCCACCGCCGGTTCTGGCTGTAGCCGTGGTGGCCACATCGCCCCGAGGCGTGTGGCGCCGGGCCTCCTTGCGAGGGTTTCTGGTGCTCTTTGTTGTGCTTAGTGGTGCCTTGCTGATGTTCTGGGTGCTGCTGCGGCTTATTCCCCCCGGGCGCCCTTTGTTTCCTGCAAGGCCAAACGAGAAAGGTCAGCAGAGGTCTCTATGGAGATTCTCGATCTTTGTCCCAAAGGTGCTTTTTGCAGAGGCAACTGGACAACCTTGAAGACTGTTTCGCTTCTCACCCAAGAAGCTTTTTCAGCTCTGACTGGTTGGTGGGGAATGGAAGGATTTATACTCCTTGTAGACAGCTGGTCATTTGCATCTTTTTTAGAGAGTCGTTGAGGCCACTTGGAGGCTTATCTGTGTTGTCTTGGTCCCCTGAGTAGTGCAAATGGGGGTGGGGCCTTCTCAGTCCTTTCAGCGATTCCAAGGAGGCTCCACCCCCATTTGCACCACTCAGGTGACCCTGAGGACACAGATAAACTTCCAAGTGGCCTCAACGACTTTCTAAAAGAATGCAAATGACCAGTTTTTCTGCAAGGAGTATACATCCTTCCATTCCCCGCCATCCAGTCAGAGCTGAAGAAGCTTCTTGGATGGGAAGCGAAATGTCTTCAAAGAAAAACAAAGAAAGTCCAATTGCGTCTTGAAAAAAGGCACCTTTGGGATGGATGTCTGTCTGCACGTGGCCATGAAATAGGCCTCCCAGACATCACTCCCACAGCACACCCTGCGTCACAAAATATCTGTGTGTGAATCCATCTGAGAAACAATACAGGTAGTCCTTGCTTAGTGACCGCTGGGATGCTGGGATGGTAGTAAAGTGCAAATTCCAGTTTTAACTCATTGCAGCGCCACTGTAACTTCAAATCGTTGCTAAATGAATGATGGCGAAGTCAAGGGCTATTTCTAGAAATACAGGTAATTCTTGACTTAGATCTGTTCGTTTAGTGACTGTTTAAGGTTACAGCAGCACTGAAAAAAATGACGTATGATCGGTTTTCACACTTATGACCATTGCAGCGTCCCCATGGTCATGTGATCAAAGTTCAGACGCTTGGCAACCGGTTTATATTTATGACGGTTGCAGTGTCCCGGGATTATATGTGATCCCCTTTGTGGCCTTCTGACAAGTAAAGTCAGTGGGAAAGTCAGATTCACTTAAGAACTCTGTTACTAGCAGTAGCAACAACACTTAGACTTATATACCGCTCCATAGTGTTTTTGCAGCCTTCTCTAAGCAGTGTACAGGGCAGAGTCAGCCTGCAATGCTGAAGGAAGGAAGGAAGGAAGGAAGGAAGGAAGGAAGGAAGGAAGGAAGGAAGGAAGGAAGGAAGGATCTAGGTCCTCGTTTTCCCAACCTCGGAAGGACGGAAGGCTGAGTCAACCTTGAACTGGTCAGGATTGAACTCCTGGCAGTGGGCAGAGTCAGCCTGCAATGCTGGGAAGGAAGGAAGGAAGGAAGGAAGGAAGGAAGGAAGGAAGGAAGGAAGGAAGGAAGGAAGGGAGGAAGGAAGGAAGGAAGCATCTAGGTCCTCGTTTTCCCAACCTCGGAAGGACGGAAGGCTGAGTCAACCTTGAACTGGTCAGGATTGAACTCCTGGCAGTGGGCAGAGTCAGCCTGCAATGCTGCATTCTAACCTCTGCGCTACCAGGGCTCTAACTTAACAACTGCAGTGATTCACTTAACAACTGTGGCAAGAAAGATTGTAAAACGGGGCGAAACTCAACCCACGTTTCGTTTAGCGATAGAAATTTTGGACTCCATTGTGGTCGTAGGTCAAGGACTACTGTACTGGATAAGAGCAGACCTAAAATCCGGATCAGGCTTTACGGCCACCTAATCCAGCCTTCCGTTTATTGCTTTGTCCAATTTCTTCCGTTTGGAAGCTTTCACGTTTGGGCAAAGAATCCACTAGGTGTTTTTTGGACCCCAATGTCTAAATAAATCAAAGGCTCCCCAAAATCTTTAAAATATGCTCTTTATGAGGGGGGCAGGTCTGCACCCACCTCCTGCCAGCTCTTCTCACCCCTTAAATGGGGCGCCACCAACGCCAGGTGGTTTTAAAGAGCAGTTAACTTGGCACATCCCACATATTTTGGACTGCAGAGTCCATCACTCTCTCGTTGGTCATGCTGGAGAAGGATGCTGGCCGTCGTATTGCTTTATCTGGAATTAAGTCCTATTTGACTGACTTCCTGGTAGACACGAGTTAAGACTGCGCAGTGAAATATAAAACAAACCAAAACAGACAAGCAAACAAAAACTTTGAAATACTGCAAACTCCGAGACCGCTGGTTTTCCATGCAACCGACAGTCCAGACTTTAAAAGGTTAAGAAAAAGGAGGCCTCGGCTAAATCTGGGAGCAGCAAATTCAAAGGACAAAACCACAACCGGATATACACAGAATTGCTTGTCAGAAGCCCTCTTATAAAAAAATATACACAGGTAAAACAGCTTCGTGACCCCTTTTCTTGATCCCTGACTGGCTCACTCTGGATATTCAGTGGAAGGTGCATAATCAGGCCCATGAACGTCTGCAAGATCAGATAACTAGGCACACAATCACAGTGGGATTGGTCCTCTCTAAGAGACCATGAATTTAAATGACTCCACCAGTCCCCTCCCTTCCTTCCTAGCTGCCCTTCCATCCTGGCTGCCCTTCCTCCTTCTCCTTCCTTCCTAGCTGTCCTCCCTCCTTCCTTCCTTCCTTCCATACATCCTAGCTGCCCTTCCTTCTTCCTTCCTTCCTTCCAGCTTTCCTTCCTAGCTGTCCTCCTTCCTTCCTTCTTCCCTAGCTGCCCTCCCTCCCTTCCTTCCTTCTTTCCTAGCTATCCTCCCTCCTTCCTTCCTTCCTTCCTTCCTTCCTTCCTTCCAGCTTTCCTTCCTTGCTGTCCTTCTTCCTTCCTCCCTCCCTAACTGCCCTCCCTCCCTCTCTTCCTAGCTGTCCTCCCTCCTTTCTTCCTCCTTCTCCTTCCTTCCTAGCTATCCTCCCTCCCTCCTTCCTTCCTTCCTTCCTTCCTTCCTTCCTTCCTTCGTCTTCCTTTCTTCCAGCTTTCCTTCCTTGCTGTCCTCCTTCCTTCCTCCCTCCCTAACTGCCCTCCCTCCCTTCCTTCCTAGCTGTCCTCCCTCCTTTCTTCCTCCTCCTCCTTCCGTCCTAGCTATCCTCCTTCCTTCCTTCCTTCCTTCCTGTCTTCCTTTCTTCCAGCTTTCCTTCCTTCCTCCCTAACTGCCCTCCCTCCCTTCCTTCCTAGCTGTCCTCCCTCCTTTCTTCCTCCTCCTCCTTCCGTCCTAGCTATCCTCCTTCCTTCCTTCCTTCCTTCCTGTCTTCCTTTCTTCCAGCTTTCCTTCCTTCCTCCCTAGCTGCCCTCCCTCCCTCCCCTTCCCTTTTTATTTATATCTCCATGAATCTTTGACCTAGGCTGAGGCAATGAGTCATCTCTCTCTAGCTTTTATTCTATTTCCCCCAAAGAAGCGCCCAGCCTGGCCTTTGAGTCAACAACCTAGGGCTGTTCAAGCACCAGACAGAGAGACACTCTGCCCCCCCCCCCACCCCGGGACTCTCAGGAAGGTAAACCAACCCCAATTTTCCATGGCGCACAGGGACTTCCGGTCTGCGGTTTTTGCAAAAGGCATGCCGCGCATGGGAGCGTGCACCAAGGGCGGCCAACGAACCCGATGCAATTAGCTCTCCCACATGTATCCACGACCAGAGAGGTGCAGCCAAGGATGGGGTTGGTCATTCTGAATCATGGGTGAAAGCTGGCTCTCCTTCTGTAACCACGCTCTGAGTTTCTGTATTTTTATTTTATTTTTTTAAATCTGACTTCAAAACTGACTTCACCCTTCCCTTTCGGCTGCTGAATGGATGATTCACAACACGTTGTCAGTGAACCTTGTCAGAAGTTATACTGTTTATGAATGTTCCAGGACACACAAGCACCCTGGTCAGTTCCTGGGAAAAAAACTGGTACAGAACTAGGTCCAGATGTAAACCCACATGCATTTCTGCACACTATGTTGGCTGTAGAGTTATCATAACTTTGTGGGAGCTTAATGAGAAGATTAGTGGCTCAAATAAAAAACTGCATTCTCAAATTACGTTCTCTGGAAGCAGACCTGACCGTGTAACCAGATTCCCATGAGGATCGGACGCATCTTCCCACTGCATTAATTCAGGTGGAATATTAGTTAAAAAAAAAATCTGGGTGTTCCAGTACCCCACGGGCTGAAACTGTGGAGAATGGGTTACAGGGTCCAGTTCTCTTTGCAGATAAAGCTGGAAGGAAATCACCCGAAAATCTGGCCGCTTAGCAAAAATCAAGAAATTGTGAAATGATAAAAGTCAAATCCATCAATTTAGGGTTTATATGCAGATGATACCACTCTAATGGCAGAAAGTGAAGAGGAACTGAAGAGCCTCTTGATGCGGGTGAAGAAGGAGAGTGCAAAAGTTGGCTTGAAACTCAACATTGAGAAAACCAAAATCATGGCATCCGGCCCTCTCAATTCCTGGCAAATAGATGGGGAAGAAATGGAGGTAGTGACAGATTTTATCTTCCTGGGCTCCAAGATCACCACAGATGGGGACTGCAGCCAAGAAATTAAAAGACGCTTGCTCCTGGGGAGGAAAGCTATGGCAAATCTAGACAGCATACTAAAAAGCAGAGACATCACCCTGCCAACAAAGTGCGTATAGTCCAGGCCATGGTTTTCCCAGTTGCAATGTATGGCTGTGAAAGTTGGACCATAAGAAAGGCTGAGCGCAAAAGAATTGAGGCCTTTGAACGATGGTGCTGGAGAAGACTCCTGCGAGTCCCTTGGACTGCAAGGCGTTCAAACCGGTCAGTCCTAGAAGAGATCAACCCCGACTGCTCTTTAGAAGGCCAGATCCTGAAGTTGAAACTCAAGTCCTTTGGCCACCTAATGAGAAGGAAGGACTCCCTGGAGAAGGGCCTGATGCTGGGAAAGATGGAGGGCAAGAGAAGAAGGGGACGACAGAGAAGGAGGGGGCTGGATGGAGTCCCTGAAGCAGGAGGCGTGAGCTTCAAGGGACTCCAGAAGATGGTGGAGGACAGGAAGGCCTGGAGGAACATTGTCCATGGGGTCGCGATAGGTCGGAC